AGCTTCATCGATCTGATCGGATCGCATTTAACACGAACATAATAACAAACCATGAAATGTGTTGACTGGAAATTAGTAGATCCACAGGCAGCAATCTGGAGGTCGGCAACGAGAGTGATATGTTGTCAACAGGTTACCAACCCTGTCTGATCCCTTAACGTGACGGGCAGAGTATTGATCTTTGTATAGATCCCTCTATAGATCCTTGCCCCCTTTAGTACCCCATACCTGGTCCCTGCTCCCCAGACTCAACCCATTACATCACATAACACGTGGAAGTGATCACTGTCGGGTTTCGGGTATATTTCTTCTTGACACACCGTAGTCAGGTTGTGTATAGGTCACCGCACCTCTAGATGGCGCCACAAATAGCTGCCTGTGAATGGGCGCGATCTGATGAAGTCTGCTGTTGGAAGGGCTTCTTGCTTGTTATCGGAACGCCAGATTTTCTAACCAGTATGCGTTAAAGACATACTCACTTTCTTTTACGTTCTTTTCCTAGTCTGTCTAGTTTTCAGTTACAAGTGCAATCGGTTTATAGACCTTTCCCTCAGCGTATAAGAAAGGATAATGGTTAGGAAATAAAGTCAGATTCATGCCAACACAGTTACTGTCATGGCACCAGTTGAGGAATAGACTGGGGGACAATGAGAGTTCATTGGAGTATGCACCTTCACAGGCGTGGGGGCCAAAATATATCCACATAGGAGATTCACGCAAATGAGATCACACATACTTATCGTAGCCAATTCTTAAAATTTCCTTTATCACTATTTTACACATCGCAAATTTGTTACATAATGTCATTAATTAGATGTGACTTCATGTTTACACCGACAACCATACCACAACAAACCTTAACTAAGAATAAAACAGTTCATTAGAAGGAGATGTTACATGTCCAATTTGATCCACACGGACATCTTTAGTAGTTTCGTTACAACACCTAGATTCACTTAATATCATCAACGGATGAAACAAATGTATCTTTAAACCCAGCTCTGTGAATTATTCCCTGTGTCATCGTGTCCTGATACAGTTAAACCGAATAGAGGACTTCTAAGTGGTCTACAAGAAACGGAAGATATTTCCTTAGCTGGTAATGATCCTGGGTCGATTTCAAGTGTTAATCACCATTGGTCAATTGGCTGATCAGTGAAAGGTGATTATGAAGATTTGTCATGGCTTGTTGTAGACTTTCTCGTGTCAGTTTATACACGGATCGAGGCTCTTGCTTAGATACGTATTTCTGTTTGTGAATTTGTCGTAACAAAGACATTCTTGAAACAAAGCCTCTGTATTTATTTACACTAGGATATTCTCTTAGGATGTGGAAGTAGTGAGTCAGTGTTAACGGCATTTCAAAAATACGTATGAACGTCAAAATTTCTTTCACGTATGAACGTCAGTTTGACCATGTGACCGACCTCTGGTCCAGTTGAATAGACACAAAAGCTTCGAACTGATATCGTGATGACATTATGAGATCCAGATGTCCTTCCTCCAGAATATGAGTCTTGGGTTCACCACTCTTAGTCGTAGACTAAACAAGAATCAAAGCAATGGAAACGTGTTTGAAAATGGAAAGCTGTTCCTTCAGCTGGAAGGGTGATGGCTTAGGTATGCAAACGTAATCCAACTGGGGGGTTACCTCCCGAAAGGTCACACCATCATTGACACATATTAGGTTGGAAGAAACATTCTACAGTAATAGCATCTAGGCCGTACTGCATAATTGATAGAAACGTGAGGACCTTGTTGGGGACTATTTTGATATTTAGCAACCAACAAATTCAACTAAGATCATTATGTTTTGGCTCAGAACAATTCAGCCACATTATTTCTGATAGGGTCACACAAGTTCTGTTATTCATCTGTGTATGTATGATATGTGTCGGTTATGTCATGCTTGTTATAAGAACTGACGTATATATCGTGCTTCAGGTCTGCTGACTTGCAACTTGCTAATATTGTCTGTGGTTGTTTTCCGATTGCGTTCTAATCACTCATACATTCAGTCATGGAATGGCAATTTCTATAGTCACTCAAATATAGCTGCAGCATTACTGGTTGAGGCAGAAATAGTTATTAAGGTTAATATGTGTGAACAGGTCATGGCGTATTTACTTTAGGGAGCTGTGGTCTATATGAATAACTGCGCACATTAGGTAACGCAAATCTGGAAGAATGAAGTTCAATTTCTAACAATATTTATGACTGACGAAAACAGCTTCTTTTACAGCATACGTGTGTTTTTTTTATTTTCTCCGTTTTAACGTTACTCGCTGAATGACGGACGCCTGAAAGGCTAGAATAATCAACATATTACGATAGATACAAAAACACGCAGGCTACAGTCATGAAAGCTCAGGCTAGCAATATATGCTCATGCCAATAATGGTTGTCACCCCTTCAAAAAATTTTAATTGGGTTTGGGGTGTGGGGTGGGGGTGTGGGGGTTGGGGTGGCTAGGGGGTGACAACCATTATTGGCCTGAGTATATATGCCTATAATTATCAGTTTTTATAACCTAGATGACTTTACATAAGCAAGTATGTCAGTCATGAGTGTCGATATTAAGCCATGTGTTTGTGCTGCCATTGCTAAAACATGTACAGGTACTCTACTTTAGGGAACATTTCACATATACACTCCGCTGTAACTCAAGACAAACCATTATCCTGTGTAGTTTTCGAATCTGTGTAGTCACCGAATTCAGTGTTTTCACAATTTCACCTTTTACTCAGTGATTCATATATTTGCTGATAGATGTTAGTTACACTTCGTAAGGCGTCCAATTCTTAACAGAGTTTCTCTGCCAAACGTTGATTTCGGTAACAGGAAATTTCCGAAAGTCATTATGCCATCATTTGGGATAAAAGCAAACACTCAGGGCATGCGTTATTGCAGCCTTGGGCTTCGCCTGGTGGGGTCCAGACTTGCGAGGGAATCGATTCTTGTCTACTGGAACACACCTTGATAGGTCTAAGGTTTCTTGTGCCAAGTGCCAATCCTCTTAAATTACACAAGAGTTTCCGTTTTCCATCACACAACAGAGTGAATGGACTCGACATCTTGACACAGGGCAACCCTTTCGTTTTTCTGGCTTCAAGTCTGTTGCGCTCCACAATGTTCGCGAGGCGGATTTAAGCAATAACTGATCGATGAAATAGACTTTGATGGTCATATTAGAGGATAGGAAGTGCCGAAACAAACCTCGAGGCATCTGCCATATCCTTTCATATGGAAAAGCATTTCCTTATGAAATAATCATGCTAGAAATGGATGTGTATTTTATAAACATTCGTGACCTTTTCTGAGATAGGTATACTAAGGTAGGTGCAAACATATAACATAAGACTGATGATTGAATGACTGCGGAGTATGTGATGTACAACATTCTTTTCATTTTCGTAGGACATACTCATTGTATTTGTAGAAATTGAATGTAATTTTGTCGGGTCCCGAGGTGGGCACATTTGCGTAGTATCCTTGGACAAGATACTTAGATCCACATTGTCTCAGTTCACCCATCTGTAAAATGGGTACCCGTGAGGATTAGCTGGCAATGTGAGTGTTTAGTTCATTGCGCCTAACAGGTAGCATGGCTGTACTCCCCAGGGAGTTGAAAAAGTATTGGAAAGTACGAGAGTGTCCTATGACCGGGGATAGTAATGTACGTAGCGCCGTGAGCAGGCAATGTGCCTGGATATGAGCGCCATATAAGCGGACTATTACTTTTACTATTACTATGGGGAATAGTACAGAAAGTTGGCCCAGGTTTTTTTTTATATAATTTGTTGATTATCAGATCCGTGAAGGTCCGTGTTAGAATATTGATCTTCAGTAACCCATGCTTGTCGTAAGAGGCGACTAACGGGATCAGGTGGTCATGCTCGCTGACTTGGTTGGCACATGGCATCGGTTACCAATGCTCATACTGTTGATCACTGGGTTGTCTGGTCCAGGCTCGATTATTTACAGACCGCCGCCATATAGCTGGAATATTGCTGAGAGCGGCGTAAAACTAAACTCACTCACTCACTCTTGATTATTATCAGTCCTCATAAACATCTAGACGCTGGTAAATGATGATTAACAAAAGTACACCGCCTGTATCTATCGTAACAAAGGTATATGAACAAAGGTATAAGGACAGAAACGTCACATCATAATGTGGTAAAGAAGTATGTCATCGGTATCACTTGCGTTGAAAGCATATGATACCAAAAATAGGATTACCTTACACAACATGACATGCATACTGATACTTTCAGATTATATCACATTCAGTGGTAACCAATATCAGGCTTTTTTCATTTCTGTATCTCTAAAACCACAGTCACTAAAAGCCGTGGTAGAAAGCTGTATTGCAATAATGTTCCTTTTATCGTTGGAATCTAGGACATAAAACAGTACAAAACACAGCTTTCGTAAACAGTTTAATAAATATATCGCACGGTTTCATTCAAACAGGACTATCATATATCACTGAACGTATATATATCCAAGAAAATACATCGGAACGATAAAATAGCTTGGATGTAATCGTTAATATGACACAATGCGCTTACAAAAGCCAGTAAACAGCCATGAATTTCAGGTGGGCAAATGTAAACCTTCAACAAGACACAAAGACAGGGAAAAAATAATGCGTTTCCATTTCGTACATACCATCATGTAAACACGGTTTATGTACAAATTTAAGACTTTTTAAGCAGTTCTCACAACTGGAAAAATATCCACATATGTACATAATTAGTTGCCCGGTAATGTCCTATTCGGCAATCTGCAATTGCACACATTGACCAATAACCGATGTACGAAAGCAAACGGTGACGTCACAAGACCACAACAATTGTTATTCATTACCAACATATACAAACAGCAGTATCATCATACATACTGAAGCATGGTCCTGTGATGTGTGGTGTTGGATGGGATATATAGCCCCTGTACAGTATTGCGATGTCAATGTTGCTTGAAGACGTAAAACATTGAAACTTCAATATTTTGAGTGCGATACAGATTACAAAAAATATGGCAAAAACGATCCTGTAAATACTAGTACTACTGCACATGAATGGTCTTGATGGCACATGCCTTCAGTATTCGTATTTTCAGAAGTACACTTCATGCATCCTCTTGGTTATTTTCAGATTTATACCTACGGGAAGTTAGTGTGGTGAGGAATAACTGTAGAAGTTTTCGTGACTTGAAAAGTGTTTTTAGCAATGTTTGTTACAACAGGCTGTATCCATTTCTATCGGAGATCGATATGTGTTAAGGATGCAAGAATTGTGTACTTTTCTACATCGGTCGCGATGGATAGCTTTTTATTTCTTTTGATTTTCCTGGCATACAAAGTTCCAAAAATGATCACATAGTAGAGCCATCTTATTATTTGTTTTATTTTTCAATACATTTATGAGGGCATAGTTACTTTTGAGTTGCATCAGTCATAATCACTTTTCCTTTTGAGATATTTCTGGGTTCAAAGTTCACACACTCATGGACTGATGACTTTTAATACTAACTTTTGCAATATTTAGATGGGGTTTTTTATCATAAAATATACGTCACAATTTGTATGATCAATTAGTGTAACATGTGTTCACACATATATAATGCATATGTACAATAACTAAGAGTTGGCTACAGTATATATGTTCGATATACGTACATGTCAAGATGCAGCAATGTAGCATCACATCATAGCATAGAAGTAGAGCTCACCAGCTGTAGCAAACTGTATTTGTAATTATAATAACTGCAACCGTTTACAATCGTGCATTTCAGAAATATCTGCCTTGTCGAGTTCTTCCATCCAAGAAGGGTCACTGTCACAAAATCGTCCTAACGACATCAAGATGAATCACACAAGGTAGGAAATGTTAGAATATAGTGACGTGACCGTACACCTATGATCCACACATCCATGTTCATCCAGAGATGCCAGTTTTAGTCTCCTCCTTGTTGGTTCAATAGACTGGTAATTCTCAGCTTCAGAAAGACACAGGCACTTCAACAAGATACCTATGGTCGTACGTATTTCAGTCAATGTACAAACATATACATTAAGAAAATTCAGTGGTTGCATCAGTCCTCTGACAGCGACAATTGGATCACAAAGTGGACTTTTATCAAGGACTTCCATTACATTCCTAACCAGTGCATTGAATTTGCAATAGAAAACGATACACACTCTAGCATTACATCTAGCTGTTTGTATCCAGTATATTGCCAAAGTGGCCTTTGGTTTGGCCCACACGGTTCCATCCTGGTTGTTCTATACTCCCGGCTGTTGGTATCAGGCTTCTGTGACTGAAGTCTTTACGCGACTCATATCCGATGAGTCATACTCCCCGACTCTGTATCTTTGCCCGCTGAAAGTAATACATGGAGCTATCGAAAACCAAAGACAAACACTTCAAGCGCTAAAGTATAGCCGTTTTGTACAATCAGATTTGAAAACATATACTGAACGGAATATACCTCATTTTGATTTTTGCCCAAAGAAAGAGCCTGCCTTCTAGTATATCGTGCCTCAACTAGTACTGCGAAAACATTATTGCAAAAAAAGTGATGTCTACTATGATAATTGTATATGTATAGTGTTACTCGTTACAACGAAAAACGTATTTAGTATACTTAAACAAACTGAAAAATGTCTCTATGAAATGAATGTTGAAATTCCTGCCAAAACTTGCAATAAATAGCTAGTTAATCTAGATCTGAATCAAGCATATGCTTATTGTACCAAAGAAAAATGTAGATAATATACATTAGACATGACATGCTGTTTCCTACGACACATGCCAACATATAATAACACATAACCAGACTTGGCCATGCCAGCGCTAAACAAGGAGAGAAGACAGAACAACCTACAACAGGACACATGTACAAGGAAGGAATGACATGAGCGATGCGGTAAGGGTGGTCTTACTGTCCTTCCAAATTAAACATTTCTTTAAATACATCAACATGTAAAACGACTACGGACATTAGAACGTTGATATGCCTACCACAGTTTAATGTACATTCAGTTGATGGGGAATCTTAAATTGTGCTCATCAAAGCCTTTTACTTTATCTTTGCAGTTATTATCTTTAATTCAACCTTGTCCCCACTCCAAACCTAAACCTTAACCTTAACCTCAATTCTAACCCTAATCCTACAATAACTCTGACGTGTTGCCGTGATGAGCATCGTTGCATCTACAATAAGGATTGCAGGCTGATATAAAGAAACTCCAAAGTTTGTCTCGTGTTTGGACATTTTATCATTTTCGTTAAGCCAACGAGGAAGTATAGTTTTCGTTTAGATATTATCATCTCGACCAAGAACATAACCTATAGGTATTTGGCCTGAACTATGGTGCATTGCACTTATAAACTGAAATGATACGTTATGATGGTGATAGGTTGATCACATTGTAAGTGTAAGTGCCACCAACTGACCGCCCTGACAGAGTATGAAGGAATGCACATACACGGAATACAGACAGACGACCAAAACTTAAATTAAAACTCTGCAAAAAACAACTGAAAATTACTTGGAATCGTTTATTCGAAATCGTCAGTCATATACATGTCATACTCGTTATTTACTTAAACAAAGGAAAACAATAAACATCAACCAAACAGACACTGCATCCTGAACATGCTCTGGGAAGGTGTTTGCACACGAACAGCGGAAGAAATGTCTAAATGTCCTCTTGAAATAGCCAACGTTTCCAGTCAATAGACTGTCTTTGTATTCTAAATACTGTGACCTTTACCGCCCATAAACATATTTACATATAAAACAATAAGAAAGCTACCATATAAATAAAAGATGTATCGCTAAGCAACTAATGGCACTACTCCATCCATGTGTCTTAATTTGAGCTGTAGGCAAATGACACGTGTCGGTTGTTTTTGCTTACCTCAGGTGGAATCTAGTAGGCAAAAAGTCTTTGATAACTTTAACACACTACAGGCAGTCCATTATTAAACTTTATGTATCACACGTGGACAATGACATATTTATGTCCCTATCCCTATAATAATATTTACAAAATACATATTTTTGTTACCAGCGTAATATCACAGACAGAAGGCCATGTATAACCCGTATCCGTTTGGACCATTTCTAGATGGACTAAGATCGACACCTGGTTGTTTTGTTACAGGGTCCCTAAGCTACTGGGATATATTAGTAGGAATTAATGTTTTCAGTAAGACAGCAGAGACTTTTTCAGGGATAGTCATTATCATGCAAACTTACACATACAAATTAGCCTGACCCCGTATCCATTTCTGTTTCAATAAGAAAGAGGTTACAATATTTATTTGAAACACACCGAAACTAGCTACGTACCTCTTTGAGGATAATGGTTCCAGTTCGTCTGAAAAATATAGTCATAGTTTGTATGTTCGTTGTATTATTTCATCACCAAATATTTTGCATCAATTTCTGATCTACCAACGAAATTAAAGTAATTTAAAAGGCATATTTATTAACAATATTCAAAACACACGATTCTCTATGCCCGATTTGCCGTATTAAAGTTTGTGTAAGGAAACATGAAAAACTAAAGGGCATATCCTCATGTGAGATAGATCAGATAATAACATACTATTTTAAGCATCACAGGTCAGAGGACGGATTCGCAACTGATAGATGATAATTAAGAAAAAACAGAATTTTCCTTAAATTAAGTCATCAACAACAATTCCTACTGTCACTAGACAGGGTAGAGACTTATAGCACATAATTGCCCAAATGTGTGTATGTGAGTATGCGTCATGTTTAGTTTCTTTATTGTGGGATTAAGGGGTTCAATAACTGCAAAGTATATACAGAAGGATTGATTCTATTTATCCTGTTATATAGATTCCTCAGATCTGTTGTGAACCAACATGCGTCATTAAAGAGGAATGGAATGATCTGACATGCCGCTACAGTATTTGTACTGACGGCATCATGTTTACCATAATTCCATGTTCTGTTGGACATGATGTTAACACGTCAGAAGCTGTTGGATCTGGTAAACATTTAGGATTGATTTAATGGAGTATATACCTGTGGTTATGCATTATTTATCCCAAAGGCTAATTTAAAAATTTTGCTATGTCATCGATTTATTACCATCGACCCATAAACAATAATTTGTTACATAATTATGTTCTACACATGTGCTCATAAAGCTATTCAATCTCATACGTTTATTTGTCATGATCGCAAAACATTTTGGCTTCTGTGTCATGTGGATATTGCCAAAAACTTACTAAGTAACCTCAAAACATGTCTGTTGGAGTCTTATTCAGGTAACAGAGCTAGAATACATCAGGCGTACGGAATACTTAATACCGGAATGTAACTTGCAATTGGAACATAGTTGTAAACGTCATCTATCCATACATTCTTTGGTAATATATTTGATATGTAAGTAGTATTTAATATAAACCGGTAGCATTTACGATCTTTAGTAAAATATCTGTCGATTATAGATAACTACTGACAATGTGGAATTATACAATTTGTGAGAGAAAAGTCCATTTGCGCTTGTCATTAAACGTAACACCCTAATGCACAGCACCATCATGTAACAAGTAATTTTAATATCACATAAATACAAGTAAAGTAAAGTCACACATTTGGTGAAATGAGGTGATAAATCATCTTGAGACCTCCGTGTATGAAGACAAAATATTTTCAACACTATATTAGGAATGGTTTTGTGATAAAATGACATTCGCCGTCTCCGTTCAAGACAGATGGTTGCCAGAAGTTCCAGTCCACTTCCGTGTTAAACGGTGGACTCACGGTTGGTGTAAGAGCTTTTCCCCCTTCTTCCACATGTGGGAAGCCAGCAGGAACATGCTGTGCGGAACTCTTTACGGAACTTGCCTGAAAAATAAACACCTACAGTAATACAAATGCTTAAAGTGATAGATTTAGTGAGTGAGTGAACTGGGCATGGGAATTATTCGAGCTCTACCATGATTATTTTTTAGCGAAAGAAAGCCCGAAGTGACGCAGGTCTAAAACGTTCACCACGGGTAAACATTGACACACAATCGGAATTCGAACCCAGGTTCATACAGGTCCTCAGAACCATACATCGATCCATAGTTTTAGATGTGAGACGAGATTAGGATTACGACCCTTACATTCCACAGTTTCAGCAATATATAGACTAAGGGTTGAACCGCTTCTGGTTAACGCGGTTGCTTCGAAGTAACTAAGAAAGCACATTGTTTATGGGGACATCACAGAATAGGTACCATGTGTAACCTCTACTGTTTCAGATTATATTCTTTCAATAAAGGCATATGTTTATGCATTTTTGTCAGTGACAGGTGCTACCAGCAAGGCGGGACATGGTTACCTTTCTCACGAACACCTGGTGTCATCATTGATTTTCAGTGGTCAATTCATAGAATATCACCCCTATTTGCATGTTAAACCTAAAGGAACATGTTTAGGATAATCGAGGCTGGATATTATCTGGCGCTGAGCTATTGTATAGTTATCAGTTGCTATTAGTTAGTGATGATACCAGGTGCTATTCACGCAATACAATCGTTCGACTCAACAATGATCTACATGAAATTTGGTTACATAAGGTATTCTTATAAAACAAGTAACAGAAGGCAAAACGACAAAATAGAATTCAATACAAAGCAACTCGTTGTTTGTGCACAGTCATCGTTTACTCAGTGAGTAACACTTACCGCTCATGAAGTTGTAGATGATAGGGTTAATGGCACTGTTGAAATAGACGAGCCAGTGTCCTGTCAGTGTCAGTATAGAGATAGTGGTGGGGCCAAGGTAATCATCCATGTTATCTATGGACATTCTGAAACAGTATAATGAAACGTAGTACAGTGATGGTGTGTGGTCATACATGTACTTAGAACTGGATCGAGTTGGTCATGGACAATGTGTTACAATCGTAAGTCCCAGCAATTATGTTCTTATTTGAAAGTAAATCTCACTTGGGCAAAATATAATTGGATTACAAGCAACGCTCAACCTGACTATATTCCAAGCGTACACGGGCAGGAAACACAGGATGAAAACAACGACCACCACAATCAACATCTTTGCTATGCGACGTCGGGCACGCACTTGCGACGCGACAGCATTTTGGGAGCCCTCTGAAAACAAAACGACAACTGTTACCAGCGATAATGCTTGTTTATATAAAGGCCTTCTTGTCACGCGATGCATGTTTGTTGATTATTTGCACAGCATCAGTTTATGAGTTGCTTATGTTACCATTCTGTACCATAACAGTATGCTGTCAAATAAGCATAGCTATTGTAACATACACCCCGTGCTTGTCGTAAGAGGTGACTAACGGGATCAGGTGGTCAGGCTCACTGGCTTGGTTGACACATGTCCCAATTGCGCAGGTCGATGCTCAGGCTGCTGATCACTGGATTATCTGGTCAAGACTCGATTATTTACAGACCTCCGCCATATAGCTCGAATATTGCTGAGTGCGGCGTAAAACTAAACTCACTCGCTCACTCACTCACTTACTATGGTAACATACTGTTAAAAATTATGTGAAACCAAATAGCTTTCTGTGGAACACTTAAACTCCCAAAACAAGTCTTGTGTTTCATGTTCAAATTGTGGCTGTCATTTTAATAGGTTTCCTTGAAAGATTTTCTTCTCATAATTATCCCTATTATTTATTATGACATTGATTGACTCATTTAGATGCCAGAAAAAACAAACAATTTTCAACAAAAGCATTCAAAACTCGTTTTGCGGCATACGCTTATACTCTTCAAAGTTGTAACAATTTGACAAAGCTCAACATTCGTGTTTGTACTTTCAGGGTTTATACGCACGGATCATAATTGAATGTTTAAATCAATGTCGACAAATCCTTTGAAGACCATCTATAAAACTTCAAAGCGTGTTTGCCTTTTTTTCCACAGTGATGATGACTCAGATGATGTCTTCGTTCAGAATGTAGCTTAACCCCAGGCAAAAAACCATCAAACAAGTATATGACGTCTCAAATAAGGTAATGACATTGTAAGAAGTCACATCAGTGAACATCGCTTTGTCTTTGAAGGACAATGGCATCCTCAGCTTACTGTATTAGAGTGGAGTAATGCAAACACCCTAGGCATTTTACAAATGTCAGATACTGCTAGACAAGCAGCATGTTCGACCCTACCAAGCATAGACTTGTGACGCTTTGAGTCAAAGACTGTGTGTAGGAAAGATTGCCCGAGGTAATAACGCGACTGAAGAAACCCACCTTATTTTGTGTTATGTTCATCTTTAATTAGTCCTCGAAACAAGTTTAGCGCAAGCACATCTGTTGGTCTGCTCAGTAATGTCTACTCGGTGACGTGTAAAGATAGCTCATTACATCCTTTACTTAAACAACTCTAGTTTGATTGTGCATGTATTCGACTGCGCGCACTTGCAACAAGTGAGACCAGTGTAAGAACCATGGTCCGTCTAGTAGGTACTCGAGGCTGTTTGAACAGTTGTTATGAAATCCTGTCAGTGCTAACAGACCCTGAAACAGCTGTGTTAGGTTCCTACATGGAGGGGCCTGAAGCCACAGAATTCAATGTACTGGGGAGTATATCTCTGTCGTGATATGATCTGCTGATCGTGTGTTCGAATCCTAGACTTCCAGCATATTTTTGGTCAGAGAGGACACATTCTTCCTGTTTTCCACCCGAAGTTCCCTTGTCGCGAAAACGTTTACCATGTGAAGGCTTCTCTTATCAATGAAATAAACGAATCATATCATATGTAAAAAAGCTGCTTACAGGAGCTAATTTCTTCTTTCTCAAAAAACGTTTTGTACTGATTTACGTTCAAGTATGCCTAGAAGAGGGGTTTCCCAATGAATCGCCAAAACATGGCACTATCTAATAAACTGAGAGGTTCACACATTATACTCATTCGCGGTGGCCTGATCTTATTACATCTCAATCCCTTAAACATGCTAAAGATGGGGCAAATATTCTAACATTGTCATGCCTTGTATGTTGTGGTTTACTAATTTTCTTATTACACTACTGCTGAAAAGTGAACTCTCAGTGACCTTCGTGAAGCACTGAAATGTAGTTACCAGTTAAATAAATCATCTTCCCTACGCAGAACAGAGCTTACCGGTGAGCTGTCCAGCTTTCATGCTTGACCACAGACACAAGGCGATTTTAGCATATGTGTATCCCATAGCGATAATAGGGAGAATGTAAAAAGTTACAAACACAAAAAGTTCGTAGTGAAAGGCAAATGTTTTCATTTCGATTATGGGAGAACACGACGTAATCAGCATTGTGAGGTTGCGTGGTATTATGGCGTCGTTATTCTCCGTCATTATGAACAGCCTGGGTATCGCCGCAAGTTGCGCTGTCAACCAGATGGAGATGAGCGCCATGATCACTCGTGTTTTCGTCTCCTTGAAAGACAAAGGATGGCAAATGGCAAACCATCGTTCTATGGAAATCGCAGTCAGGGTCAGGATGGAGACAATGACGCACACGGTCTGAAAAGAAAAGAAACTTTTTTAAATTTACGTATCGAATCAATGAAAGAAATGTTATTTTATGTTATTCACTGGTGAATAATTTGTTGGAGAGGATTTGCATCGAATAATATTCGGTTATTACATTTTAATTTTGGCATTGGAACGGTGTTTCTCCGTGTACTCTCCCACGCAATTTGTGGGAGTCCTCAGTCGTATCCGGAACTTCGTATCGGCGGGATGTTTTACCTAGTACATTTGAAGAACAAGTGCAAGGGGCGGGATGTCCTTAAACGTGTGTGATTTGTCTAGTTAATGGCGGAACATAATGCCTGAAACGAGACGAGATCTTCATAGACATTACAAAATGCATAATTGGATTGTTTAGTTTGGTCTGTAATAACAATTATGCCTCTAAAAGTGTTCAGTGTGAAAGTAAGTAAGGAAATCATGAAAGGACATTGCCGAGTTGTCAATGTCCCCTCTATGATTCAAATTATATGGGATACCTAGTAACCTATATTGTAACGATATATCTTCCGACGAATGATCTGAACGTAGATCTGTTTAAACACAAGGTACACTAAATGAAGGGTGGAGCGTCTATTAGGTCATGTGTGATTTCGAGCTTATGTAACAAACATCGTCAGCAAGCACATTATCGGCAACCATCGTTCTGAAACCGACACATTCAAACCACACTCGCGTGTTGTTTAAATTGTAAAAACCGGATGTTATGTTTTCTGATGTACTCTGGACTTTTTGGATAGGCGTAGACCTGATCGAGTATGAACGTCATGGGAACGTCAACATACGTCAACAGATGTGGGGCTGTAATTATATAGGGCGCGATCACTGTGATCTCCAGACCGCTGTTGCAAATTGCCCATTGACTGGTCATATTGCAGTATTGCAGTGAGAACATACTGACGCCAGTAGTTGTGATGTTTGGTCCATATTGGCCCACGCTTGTCCACGTGTCCACTCACTATGCACTATCACAGACACGAGTTTTGAATGACAGCATGCAGTAGACAACATGATTGAAGACCTGTCCGTCGACGTCAAACCCCACCATGCCCTGCAAGAGGAATGGGCATGACTCCCCAAACCAGAAATTGATTCGGACCATAGAACACAGTCTAATTGAATGTTTAACCAGTCGTTAATGTATAGCTCATTCATGCTGAAGGCATCGAAACGCATATGGCATATGAAACGTTCATAGTTTTCTACACATCCTGTTCTTGGTTGTATCACCTTCAGAATACACGGTTCTAATACCTAGTCCTTCCCTCTTCTCATCCATCAAATACCATCACTCGATACCACTTTGTATCTATGTTGTCATATACAGATTTCCTACTTTGTTTGGAAGACATATGAACAGAGAAAAACAGTGGCCATTGGTCATTAGTCACTGGAGAGCTTACATATTTTCCTTGAATAAGGCGTGAATCTGTCTATTTGTTCAATTCAACATAAATGAATGAACGACATAGCCCAGAAACATACAACTGACTTTTATCTTTCTGATGTACAAATACTGCCACAAAGCCAACAGTTTGTCACATCTGTAAGTAACCTTTAAGTCCAAAATATTACTTGGGACTGTTAATCAATACCCAGATCGATATATCTTTTTATGAAATAGCGATAGGCTTTTAGAATAGCCTCGCAATGCATGTTCTATTTGTCAGAAGCTCAGTTTAATATTTCAGAGTCCAATACCACCGCGAGTCATTTATCTAATTCCGTGCTAACTACAGACTTTCCAATCACTTTTACTGAGACTATTGTCGGTTACAATGTTCCCCTCAACTGTTGTCAATGATTTCATTTTCCCGTGACATGAGGCGAGAACGTGTCTAGGTTTCTATGCTGGAGCCTAGCACCGTGTATTGATTGTAGGCACGGCCGCCAAGTAGTTGACAGTCAATGACATGCTATATTACAATCCAATGACACAGTATAACACAGGCAATTTCACCCAGCCCCCTAGCGATAGCCTTCTTTAGAACTAGATACAGGGAATCGTAAAACGTGAAAATGATTTTCGGTGTACCTGAGTGAAGGATGAAAAGGTGGTTATTTTTCTTGCTTGCGCCGACGTGTTCGTGGTGGTGTGTGAAGGATCTATTAATCATTCCTGCTCTACTTTGTTATATATCTGCAGCCTTTCTATGGTTCATTTATTACGGCATCTGTGTGTGGCTATACAGATATAACCGTGGTATAACGAACTCAAACTGACCCTAATTTCAGTTTGGTGAAAACAGTTTTTCGATAGGCGCATTTCGGCTAAATTAAAGAGCAAGTGGTCTGGACCCACAACAGTTCGTTATGTCCGTCAATTCGCTAGAGGAGTGTTCGTTATAAACGCAGTTATTATTGTTTATAACAAATAATAAGAGTATTAGTTTTATCAATAACAATACCGAATATCGATATTGTTAGCATACAGGATATACATTTATAAATCACAGTCTCTGTAACTACATACTTAAATCTTTCTGTCAAAATACCAAATATACTCTGCAAAATAAGAAACGCAAAAGTAGACAAATTGGAAATATCTGACGAAGTTTTGATAATATTAATACAAAATGAATACCAAAAGTGAATTTCTCATGTCTTCATGCGTCGGTTGTTATTTGTGCAGGCAGAAAAAAGTACGCCCAAAGACTACCGAAAAGTGTTGGCAACGCAATAAAACACAGCAATATGAAATGAACGTTTCCCGATGGGTTTGTCTCTTATCAGAATTGTACAGCATGTGAAAATAGAAGACATGCCATGTGAAAACAGAAGCTAAACGCAACGACACCATCCACGTATCGCCAAGCAATATTACAAGATTACGTTAACAGGGGTCAACACGTGACCTACCAAGATCCGGTGGACCACAGGTCACAACTGTAGTGTTCACAGACGTCGTGCTCGTAACTGCATACAGGAAGTGGACAGGTTTGGTGGGGAAGAGTAGCGGTATGGGACGCCATCTCCCATACCAGTAGAGCAGACTCGGTATACTTTAACGTCACAACGTTACGTTTATGAAATTATTCGGTCACACGTCTTATGCAACAAGCAAACGGCATCTTTCAATATGACAACGCCCGACCTCATACAGTAAGACTGACAACGGCCTTTTGGAGGAACCACAACATGCAAGTAATGCCATGGGCCACAAGGTCTCCACATCAGAATCCCATCAAACATCTAATAGGGTGTTCGTGATGAACGTCTGCTGTCACGTCAGCAACGGCCACAGAACACCCAACAGTTGCAAGCACTGCAGGAAGAGTAAGTGAACATTCCCCAAGCTACAATTCGTAATCTGATTGGTTCTATCGGGCGACGATGCTAGGCAGTTCTGGGCTCTCTGGTGAGCCTTTCAAGATATTGAGAACAGATGACCTTCACCTTGACATTCGACTGTTTCATGTGTGCCATGATGAACCTCGGTCAGTGACACTCGTACCATATTTGAACTAATTATTGTCATCTGTTGATTATTCAAATAATACATAAAGGATACACCTGAAAACCACATTTTTGCAGAGCATATATTGGGGAGAAATGATGGATAGATATTATTTCTTTCCAGGGTGTAAACAGTTTTCACCGAGACCCACATCATTTAAATCAGCGTGAAGTGTTGATGACAAACGCAATGCTCTCAAGTATCCGACATCCTACACACCTACTGATGCCAGTTTATACAGTGTATTAACGATTAATATACTTTCATATGTCTCCAAGCGTATTGTATACACATATCCAGAAATAGTGAAAGCAAAAATACTCAAGACAGGATGATAAAAGTGCATGATTATATCCTCACCGCAAGGCATTGTTGCATCTGTTTTAGTTAAACAGTGTCATACACGTGTAAGGCACGGCTTTAATGGCACACAAATGGGTGACGTAATCTGATTGTTACATCGTGTTAACGATGCTTTTACATTGGCCTGCAAACCACGATGGTTCACTTTCACTGCGTGGAGATCTCTTACAGGAGACATCGCGTGATCTCACACAAGCGAAATGTATTGTGGAAAAAAATCGGATGACAATATATTAGTGCATCACGTCATACACGAGATTGAGGATTGCCAACAGCATGTTATTACCTAGTTTCTGCTCCTTAACCACATGTTACCACTTTTACTGAGTAGATTGCACTGCGCTGATACTCACCAGAACGGGAATGGATGATTGCTCTTGAGAATAAGACATGTATATGCATGATGATATTGTATAATCTGCACTTGAAACAGCACATGCACATGCACGAACGGCTATATATTCCTATAAACGTTGTGGAACAGACTATAACATGTTGTCGGTTGCACTCAACTCATTTCACTTGAGACGTGGCCAGAGAGTACCAGTGTTACTCCGTCCAAGAAATCATTTATATCTAACGGTGCTAACGGTGTCAAGCGGCCCTTCAACCTAGAAGCAACTTATTAATAAGTCCACTTGTCACATAAAGTAATTACTTTTTACCATTCCGCATCCAGGGACAGACAACTCTGTAATTAAGTCGATTCATCCTGGTTGCAGGCTTGCGTCAGTGCCAATGCCCGATTTATTTTGACTACGACGGGGCAATCGGGAGCAGTGAAGTTCCAAAATGGAAACATTTTCTTGCGAAGACGACATAATATCTTCAGTGACATTATTTAGTATCGTGTTGTCAATTATTGTGCACCCAGTCGGGAGGATTTGAACTTGAATGTTCACTGAATGAACACTGACCTAAATTACATTAACCCTTTCCTAAATATCACTTTCAGTTGGCAAGTCATAAAACGTAAACGACTGTCAGATATGACACAATGAATCATTTATTTACTTGAACTACCCATGGCTTTCTCGTCGTACATTCGTGAAGAAAATAAAGTACAACTTCATACTTAATGGCTGTCTGAAGGTGACGACAGCTACGTATATCCGAGCTCACATTGACTTGTCAGTATTTATGTAACATAAGACATTCTGTTCAATGGCCC